TGTACAACGTTTCGATGATGACAAAACCTTGTCGAAACGTTGTACATTTGCTGTTATGTTAAACTTATATTAAAGTTTTCTTCATTACCCATTCAAGCCGTCTCCAGCCATTATTAGTCACAAAGTGGATTCCTCGTCATCGAAAAATTATGTTTGTTTGTTTTAAATAAAAATTAATTATCCTTTAATTTTCCCACTAAATTGGAATTATATTATAATATAAATGTTGTATATTATAATATAAATGTTGTATATTATTTCTGAAACAAAATTTTGTTATACTAATAACATTTATCAATCGCTAGGCTCGGGTGAAGTATGGTGTGGGTTTATGCTACGTGATCGTTACGGTAACGAAGAAGGCCGGACCGGATCAACCTGAAACGCTGTTGGGTGGCGGGATTGGTGGAACTACGACTGACCTAGCAAATTGATAGTGAATGTCCAAGTTGCTCAAGTAAGTCAACCCCACCAGGCATGGCCAGGTGGTTTGGACACTCAACTCTCAATCTGAGGGTCGCGGGTTCGAATCCCCTTCCCAACAAACATGTTCGCCCTTTCAGTCGTGGGGACGTTATAATGTGCGGTCAATTCCACTATTCGTTGGTAAAAGAGTAGCCTAAATTGCGAGTCGAGCGCCTTAACTACTAGGCCATGCCAGATCTGAAGGAAAAAGAATACAAGTAAATTACATTTATCAATAAAAATGAGATAGCCTGTATATCACAACGAAAAGACGCTATAATACTCTTTTTTCATTATTCCACTTTAACTGTTTTAATAACTGTTAATTACACTATATGTGACGAAAAGTAAACAGTAAAAGTAAAAATAAACAAACAATATTTGTAATTACAGCAGAAATATGATATACATAAGAAGTAAACAATTTTAATATACAAAGTATAAAAAAGAAAATGAAATAATGTTTGGCTGTTGAGAGAATTTTATTAAAGTGGAGAGAGAGAAATCGGATGTACTGTTTCTATATTGTGCTGATCGATAGCGGAATTGGAGGGTTTGTAAGCTTTCTTACATACTTTTTTCAACTGTTTCGTAATCGGTAAGCGGGCGTATAAGGGAAGTTTGGGTACAGTGGGTATCTTAGTTGGTTGTTCTTCGGTCTCTAAATAATACAAACTTTCACATAATTTAAACCTATTTTAATTTAACTATTTCATTTATGCCACATTATTTCATTTTGTCGTGTTATAACTTGTATATGAAAAATAAACATATTTTCGTAAAATATCTAATGGAAATTCTGAATATCAACTATTTTGATTTTATAAGAAATAAATTAATAACCTAGAAAGTACTTTTTATTTTCAAATAATGATGTGATAAAATTAAAATGCTTAGATTGCGTGATCTAATATTTTGAAAAAAAATTACAGTGCATGTGCCTAACAAGAACCTCGAAGAAAAATTCTTCGATTTCTTAGAAAACTATTTCCTTTAGTTGCAAAATTTGTTCAGGAAAGATGAAACATCTGAAACAAGGACAAAATCTTGAACGGAACAGAACTGATGTTGTAATAACAATCGTCATATATTCTCACGCTTGTTATCGCGAGGAAGAGGGTGGTACTTACGAAACAGTTAGAAGTATCACGTGATTGGGCAATGAAGAAGGGTGGTTGTATATAAAGAGAGCTAAGGAAAACTGAATTCAAAAATTTATTTTGCTGAGACGAAGTTGTGTTTCTAACAAGCACGGTATATAAGTAAGTTGAATTAATTCCTTTTTGTTTTATAGAGGGGTTTCACACTACAGTGTATCATTCTTTCCATTCTTTGACTGGTTATTTACAAATGTTTTATAGAGGGGTTTCACACTACAGTTTAAGTTATGTATCACTATTTCCATTCTCTGACTGGTTATTTACAAATGTTTTATAGAGGGGTTTCACACTACAGTTTAAGTTATGTATCATTCTTTCCATTTTCTGACTGGTTATTTACAAATGAAACATGCTGTATTTACTGATAAAATTGAGAGATATTGGAAGGAATGTGAACTTAGGCGTGAATGTATTTATTTTTAAGTAATAACTGTATCTAGGTTGTCAAAGGTTCAAACACGAGCAGTATATCAACAAAAGTCAAATATAATTGATGTTTGAAATCGTCCGTACATAGTGAGCCCTGCATAGCCAGGCGGTTAGGGCGCTCGCCTCGAAATCTACGGGTTCGAATCCCCGTCACACCAAACATGCTCGCCCTTTCATCCGTGGGGGGTGTTATAATGGTAAAAGAGTAGCCCAAGAGTTGGCGGTGGGTGGTGATGACTAGCTGCCTTCCCTCTAGTCTTACACTGTTAAATTAGGGACAGCTATCGCAGATAGTCCCCGTGTGACAAACACAACGTACTTGGTGAAACTCCATAATTACAGAATTGAGGGAAAGAAGACAACTGTGCTTTCACAAATAATAAATGATGTATTTGTGAAACGTACAGTTGTTTTGTTTTTCCTCAATTCTGTAAAAGACAAATGTGCTAAACAGTATATGGCTATATTTATACCTTCTCGGATTCATTAAAGTTTGAACTAAAAGCAGTTTTGACGGCTCGTGCTCTTTTCTTCTTTCTCGTATCTACTGGTCGAATGTCTATGTTTAACATGCCAACTTTTAATTTAAACTTAGCTGAGTTTGTCATGTTGCTTCTAGTAGACCGTTAGCTCTGGTTTGACTGTGTTGATCACCCAGAACAACTTTGGACAAATGGAGATTTTAAAGATTTGCAGTTTCTCAGTTATCCAGTTTTTCCTCCGCTAAATTTGTGTCTTATCGTTTATAGATTGTAATTTGCATCTTAACTTTATTTGTATCTATTGAACCCTACTCTTTCCGTTTGTGGCCTTGTTGTCTGAAGAGTTTTTTTTCAAAATATCTTGAAAAGTAAGGTTTTTGATGCTCTTTTCTTTGAACGTTAATAATAATTTAACTGTTGCGAAATATCTGCTTATGCATGTATGATTATTTCAATTAATATGGGTTAATGTTATTAAACAGTTTGTGTGGAATTGAGCACAAAGCTCTACAATGAGCTATCTGTGCTCTGACCACCACGGGTATCGAAACCTGGTTTCTAGCGTTCACCAATGTATAAAATAGAGTAAAGAAAACACTTTACAGACAACCAAATCTTCCAACTTTTTAAAATTAGGAGATGTATTAATTTCTACTAGAAAGAGAATAGTATGAGCGAAGAGTTTATATATATAAAGATATATATCATTAAGTACGATAGTACTTAATAGTAAGGATTGTGATGTAAGGGAAACTGATATTCATCAAGTTTAAATGATGAATAATTAAGTTTTTTATATGTTAAGATAAGAAAACTAACCAGTAAAAATATCTCCGATCCAATTTTATCAAATGAACTTTGAAGCCAGAATAAGACAACGTTAAGATAAATAAATATATCACAAAATACCTATCATATGACGATAATGTGAAATATAGTTACGTTACAGTTGTTGTTTTGCGGTAAGAAAGAAACAGGTAAACATACAAAACATGGACTGTCGGAGCAGCAAGTACACAGGTTTACCACACATTCTCATTTAACTTTCACCTTCACATTAATACCACTAAGAAAAAGAATATTTGCACCAATTATTTTAGTTTTTATTGTTGGGCTACTGAGAATGATATTTTCTGGTGGCAAAGCTGGCGATTGAAAATTTGTAGACCTGTTCTAGAGGCGTATAATGTTCAGGATAAAGCGAAACTTTTTCATTTTTAATTCTGGAGAAGAATAACAAGCAATCCTATTTTATGCATACTAAGCAACTTAAGTAAACAAAAAAGACAACAGTAGTTTTGGCCCCTTTTTTATTATGGCTACAAAATTAAGCTTTCTTTTATTAAGAGCCGAGATATGTGCTCAAGCCTGCAACTTACCATGTCTATAGGTATAATTGCAGCTAGTTACGGGAAGGTAGTGGTCCTAACAAAACTATAATATGTATTTATTGCATTGTGAAAAAGGTAGTTGTAGAACTTGCCCGATAGGAGGATATCTTAAAAAACAAAGGTTGATGTCATTGTTACTGACTGCATTCAAAATTTAATGAAACCAATTTACTCTCGATGTATTTTAATTAAATTAGCATTATCAAATACAGCATAATATAAAGTTTTATATTATCCAAGTTATTATTTCTATATTTCGAAAGAAACCTTTGAAACAAACAATTATCTTCAGGTTTCAAAATGGCGTATTTAAGTGCTTTACACTCACAAAAAAAAAGAAACCTATAATTTTATAGGTATTTGTTAGCCGACACTAGGCGGCTAGTACTTAATTGAATAGTGTTGTATAAACTATTGTTTAACAACAAGTAAAAGCTTAGAATGGTCTATTCTTTCATTGGGGGATGTGCCTGTGGGCCAGACTAGTTTCGGAGAATTACATTCTTCGTCAGTGACCTTAAACACTACCACCAATAAATTTTATTTATTTATTTATTTCTGGCAGTGATTTGGATCTGAAATTAATTATTTCGGGAAATAATCAATAATCAGGGATGTTCGTAGATGAAGCAGTCCTCCTTCACCCCACTCATGGACTAAAAGTATGGGCTTGAATTGAAGAACAGGAAATTAATACAAACAAGCTGTGTAAACTTAAAAAAGTAAACGGCCGATATAGGTTTGTTTGTTTTTGAATTTCGCGCAAAGCTACACGAG